TATATATATATATATATATATTTCTTACTTTCTATTTCTGTGATAAGATATATATGTGTGTATGTGTGTACACATATCTTATCACAGAAATAGAAAGTAAGAAAAAAAAAAAAAAAGTGAAATTAGAAACAACATACTTGAACAAAGAGGACAGCAGTGACCAGGAGGGGGCTTCAATTGCTTGCCCTCGGCGCAGGTGAGAACTGGACAGGGTATTGGATCGCACTGTGGCAGTCCACGGTAACAATGACACATGTAGCACGGATCCGTGCTGGACGTCCACTGAGTACCCTCTTCGTAGAACCTTGTCTCGTGGAAACACGCTCCAGTTTCAATATCTGACTTAGGTGGCTGAAGATTATAGGCGACGACCGAGGCAACGTCGTTATCCGCATAATGAGGAAGACAATTGAGAGGCGCCCTGGCCTTGAACGGAGCTTTCAGAATCCTTTCGGCCTGTTTGTCGGTCACCTCGAGAAAACCAATGCCAGATTCAATTCTGTATAGTTCCATTGGTGATAGTCCGGTGACGGAACCTTCCAAAATATATCCAGTGAACTCTTCCAATAATCTCCTAGCAACAGGTGCTCCTTGAACTACTAAGGGCATCGTTTCCAGATAAAGTCGGAAGGTGCGTGGTTCGTGGTTGTTCGTGGAAGACGTTTGAGAAAAGCCAGCAATTTCAAGTTCGTAATGCAAGGAACAGTCTAGATCAACGGCTGTCCAGACCAGACCAACTGGACCAGGGTGTACAGGTTCCTGGGACAGTCTTCTGAGCAAAACAGGAGCAGCAGTGTCCCTGGCATCGGCCACAGGTCTTTGTAACAGTCGGCCACGCAACATGGATCCAACGTGCGAGGCAGCAACAACTGCAAGTTCTCCATTGAACAGAGGTTCGAGGAAACGTGGCCCTGGATGCTTCAACGAGTCATTAGCTACGCCCTCGGAAAGATAAGGTGTCAGGTCTTCCAACTCAGTGCGACGTTTACCACCTTCGTCCACCAAAGTCACTAAAGGACTTTCTTTCTCCAGACCTATTAGTTGAACACCGTAACGCAATGAACCAGCACGGTCCAAGAACGCCCAAGCTAGTCCAGAAGCTGCCGAGGGTGTCTCTGAAAGCAGTAAAGTCTGATACATCTCGCAGTTTGCACGTGGGCCCACTATTCCGGCTAATCGAAGCGCCTGAGGATCCTTTCTCGACATTATGCTAATCGACAGTTTCCCTCGTGTCAACAAACGGAGATCCGCCCCGGACAAGGCACTCCGGACTTCCCCGAAGTTCAACTCGTTCGAGGGCTTCTTCACAATGATCTCTTCTCGCAGAACCACGTAATCCTTTTCCACATGTTCTAATTGGACTATTAACGGTACTTCGGAGACATCATTGGGCAGGAAAACGCCATTGAACACCAATGACACGTGGATAGATGGTGCTGACGCTGAGGACGCTGAAACTATGGCGGTGGCTCCTGCACCTGACATCAACGAGCGATCCACGCCCATTGTGGGCTCCAACAAAGAGGTGTATTGCTCCGTGGATAAAGTACGATAACGGGACAATTGTCCAGTCAAGGTGGCCGATGGCTCCCATATAAAGGACACGTGCAAACGCTCCTCGCGCAACAGTTTCCGATAATCTCGGGGAACCCTTCTCCATACTCCACACAGCTTCCCCGTTGCATTTTGATACACTCCGCCGATTGGATCGATCGTCTGTTCCTCCAGAATGCTTCCTGATCCGTCGATAAACTGTATACTCCTCGGGCGAGGAGTGAACGTTGACAAATAAAACGAATAATAGAGATTTTTCCGGTGAAATGTGAAACGCCCTGTAGCCAAATAGTTGTAGGCACTGTTGTACATCGAGGTCGGGTTGGGTTCATCGCGACGTAGTACCTGAGATGTTTTACCGGTTAAAAGTGTCCCAAAATCTAGAAAAGTGCGAAGATTCGTTAAGTAAAGCTTAATTGAATCTCAAGGTAGGCTGAGTAAGACTTCATTACGTTTTAGGCTTCGTTCCTCTTCTTCGGAAGACAATTGCGCGGGCAAGTCTTGCACTATGTCACTACCTGCAATATGACAAATTTAACTTGTTAATTTAAGAAATAAGTCAAGAAATTCATTTCTTCTTTCTTTGTTATTAAACATCAATCTAATCATTTTTTTTTTCTTTCTGATCTTTTGCAGATTACTCGAGTCATTTATGTATCATCCATCTAAATTTCACTCGTAAGTTTCTTTGAAATGAATTCTTGTTTTTCTTAAAAGTCTCAAAACTCTTTCCCGTTTTTAGACTCTAACAAGCACCTCCGGTTATTTTTCCAGATCTATTAAAAGAAATTAGACACGGATGTAAATGAAGATTTGCTCACGAAGAGTACGCAAATGCATTTGTTAACAGAGTATTAACATTCAAATTCCAAGAAATTTCCATTTTCCAGTAACATGAAAGGTCGAAATTAGATTCACGTCGATAAGAACATGGCAGAAAAATTTATTTTATTGCCTCGTGAAACGATCACGTGTGCGCGACTATCACCGAAATTCTCTCTCTCTCTCTCTCTGGAGAGTTCTCGTTATACATACAAATTCAAAGTAAACTTCTCTGAAAAAAAGACTCGTAAAAATATTTCAACATTTATCAGAAGAGAAGTTTCAGGTATGTATTCTTATAGAAAATATCTTAACATTTTATTAACGAGACTGTCACGACTGTATTAACAGAATTTAAGTAATTACGTAAATTTTCTCCATTTTGTCTATTCAACTGCTCGATTTTCGTGCAGCACACGTAATTCTAAAAAGAAATATCTGCAAACGTTTGAATATTTTTGCGAGAGACACTATGTACGTAGCAAGAGGAGATGAAGAGTCTCTGGTATTCTTCTCGCACAAGGGTAGACGCGTGGTATATCTTCGTCGTTTCAAGCCGCGTGTCGCGTCTTTGATCAAGAAATCGAAATGTCATATCGATTATAAGGCGGCACATCGAGGCTTCAACAGAAAATAAATGATCGATGGAAAGGTTGGAGAGGAAAGGCAGAAGAAAAGAAAGAAGGAAGGCAGGAGAGACAGAGAGAGAGAGAGAGACATCTATTAGGATAAATACTAATAGAAAGAAAGAAGAATTAAAAGAAGGAGGAAAAAAAAAACAAACAGAAGAGATACGGAGAAAAATCCTTCAGCCATGATATGCACGAACCATAAAGAATGTCTGTGGGTTAGGAAAAGAGGCGGCTGGCGCCAACCACCGCTACTTTGAATGTTACTTTTATGGCGCATACCGCGCCAAACCTAACCTAAACCAGCCACGCGGATACGTTAATTGGAATATGTACAGTACGTGCCAGTGACAGCCACCAATAGCCACGGAATATCACGACAAGTTTCACCTTTCTACCGGACGTCATTTCTACTTCGCTTAACCCCTCGACTTTACGAATATTCGTTTCAGAGAGTTCTGCATCAGCATGTTTGTCTCTATCTCAGTCACTCTTCATCGCAACTGTATCATAGCGGCCATCTTTTTTCTTTTTGCATCATTATTCTTCACGAAAATCAATTGCACTGTATAGTACATATATTCGGTTACGTATTTAATAAAGAAATATATAAGTGAAAAAAGCATAGAACGTTATTATTTTTTAGATTGGCGTAATTGTAAACTGGAAAGATGTTATTGAACTGTGAAGTCACCGAAGGTTTTGTATGAAGTACCGCTGGAAAGCCATGTGGCTCTTGAAGCCACGTTTC